GAGAAGAAATGGTACTTGGAGAGTGGATGTTCAAAGCACATGTGTGGAGACATACATGAACTGGCAGATGCTGTTGCTGTGAATGGTCCAAGAGTCACTTTTGGAGACAGCAAAGAAGGCAAGGTTGTTGCGGTTGGAAAGCTAATCAAAGGAAACATAGAGATATCTGACGTCTCTTATGTTAATGGCCTGAAGTACAATCTGCTGAGCATAAGTCAATTTTGTGACAAGGGATTTTCTGTAATGTTTTCATCAGATAAGTGCTACGTTGAACAAGTTGGAACAAAGAAGGTTATTTTATCTGGAAGAAGACAGGGAAATATCTATGTAGTCGACTGGAATTCTGTGGACAAGAATTCTAATGTTTGTTTGGTGGCTTCTACACCAAGTGAAATCAGTTGGTTGTGGCACAAAAGAATGAATCATCTGAATTTCAAGACCATAAACAGATTGATAAAGAATGATTTGGTAAAAGAAATTCTAAAGACAGTCATGAGCAAAAATAAGCTTTATGACGCATGTCAGAAGGGTAAACAAGTGAAGTCCACTTTCAAAAGCAAAAAGCACCAATCTTCAACCAGAATTTTGGAGCTGTTACATATGGATTTGTTTGGCCCTATTGATCCTATCAGCAATGGTGGAAAGAAATACTGCCTAGCTGTTGTGGATGACTTTTCAAGATTTACTTGGGTGATTTTCATGAAGAAGAAAACTGAAACCAAAGAACATCTTACTAATCTGATGGAACTGATCCAGAATGAAAAGAGTCAAAGAATATTGAAGATCAGATCAGATAGAGGGACTAAATTTACAAACTCTACTGTTGAAGAGTATTGTAACTCCAGAGGGATCAATCATGAGTACTCTGCTGCCAGAACCCCTCAACAAAATGGAGTTGCTGAAAGGAGAAACAGAACTCTAAAGGAAGCTACCAGGACAATGATAGCTGAAGCAAAACTGCCCCAAATACAGCATGCTACACCCAGAACAGATGTATGATCAACAAAAGTCAAAACAAGACACCTTATGAGCTATGAAACAACAGAAAGCCTAATTTACATTATCTTAGGATTTTGGGTTGTAAATGTTATGTTTTGAATAATGGAAAAAATCACCTTACTGCATTTGCAGAAAAGGCTGATGAAGCTGTTTTTGTAGGTTACTCTACTGTTAGTAAAGCTTACAGAGTCTTTAACAAAAAAACTTTACTTGTAGAAGAATCTATTCATGTAGTAATTGATGAACCAAGCCAATCTTCTGAAAAGAATCAAAGTGCTAATCCAGAGATATCTGCTGACCTTCAGAAATTGAGTATGGAAAGAAAAGAAGAATATGTTCCCATCATACTACCTGATTTAAACCAAGTTGTTAACTCAAGTGCTGTTCAAAATCAGTCTGCTGATTGTCTAACAGAGGAGTTGCAAACAGCTGACAGACCAGAGCCTGTTCAACAGACTACTACTGAGACTCCAACAGTAGTGTTGCAAGATCAATCAAGAGGACAACATCCAGATTTGCAACCTGATCTCAGATGGCTCAGAGATCACCCACCTGATTTAGTGATTGGTGATCCACTGGACAGAGTGAGAACTAGAAGGTCAACTGCAAATGAAACAATGTTTGTAAGTTTTCTTTCACAAATCGAACCTAAGTTAATTAATGAAGCTCTTAGTTGTTGGGATTTATGGGGTATGATTGTCAAAACAACAGTGCGGAATATTAAAAAATTTTCATACCCCAAAATCCTAGTATTTATTTACTAGCACATATGAACAGGTTGAATACTAAATTGCAACAATTACAAAATAATAGGGTGGTAAATCGAGATTTACCTCACCACAGGCAAGGTGGTGGTTTCTCCACTCTTCTCTTTTCGTTCACTAGAGCACCCCAAGTGTTGTGCCTCTAGAGAATAGTCCACACCAGATGGATGGAGTGAAACCTTCAATCCTTAGGCTTAGAACTGGAAGTGAAGGTTTTGTCAATGACAGAACTAGATCTAGATCTAGACCCAAATCTAGGTGAAGGAGAGAGCAAGAGGGAGGGGGCGGCCAGGGCTTGAGGGGGCGGCTAGGTTAGATTTTTAGCTTAGTATTTCATTTAGGGTTTTAAGTCTCCCAAGACTCCTTTTTATAGCCACTCCTAAAAGCCCTTTTGTGCAAGACTTGCTATTGGGCCATTAATTAATTGGCCCATGTCTTGCATTAATTTAATTAACCACCTTAATTAAATTAGCCCATTTAATCCAATTAAATATTTATCTCTTTAATTAACTCTTTAATTAGTATTTAATTAATTAGAATATATAATTAATTATTTCTCTCTCAGAATTAACTCTTTAATTCTTTTATTTGATTTAACTCTTTAAATCAAACCTTTCCTTAATTGATTGTATTGTGTGTGACCCTCTAGGTTCAACATCAATTGGTCGTAGGCCCACGACTTTCGTGATTTAATTAATGAGCAATTAATATTCAATTAATTGCTCCGATCAATAAACTCCTTTAATTGATCACTCCAGAATTAATCTCCCATTAATCAAGGAGTACCCACACCTCATGGTCGATGTCTAGCCACAAGCCCATGAGACCCAACTTCAGGTGAATTGACATTAGTGAACCTCACCTCTTATAAGTACCATGTACATACGGTCCCTCTAACGACTAATTTCCCGATCGAGACCTAGGGTGTGTGAATTAGTCAGCACCTCTAATTATCTCGATTCTGTACTGTCTAATTCTGGATAATACTTCCAGTGTGACTGCTAAATTTGGAAACCCCTTTCCAAATCTGTCACTGACCATGGCCATGGATTTCTCGGAATCTATTATCTAAGAACGTACAGGAAATTCCCTCATTCATTACAATGAGTCGGTAGATCCCATCTTGATGCTAACCATCCGCGTATACGACTGTACGTACCCAATGTAGGCGCACAATGGTCAGGCTACGTGACCGGCTCCTAAATTAAAACACGCACAGCCGTATACCGAATTCGCCCTAGCACCTCAAGTCTAAGGACTAAATCGTACACTGTTATAAGTCCTGAGAAACATCCCATCACTGATATGCTTTACGCACTTCCACAATGGGTTTCTCTGTTCGGGTCGTTCGATGCGTTCGATCCCCTATCGAACCACCTAGTCATATGCACTGACATCAAATGTCTTGTTCATGAAACTCTACAAATTCACTCCATGTGAATCATGCATAATCCTACAAGTCTTGACGATTCCTTCGATACCCCGTCTCGACAGGAGTCTATGACTTGGAACACTTTTGAGATCACGACCTTAGAGACTGTTTCATGATTGCACTCATTACTTAAGTGAATCGTCCAATAGTCATGAGTGATCTCAAGGTTTCAACCAATCGCTTAAATGTGTTCGCGAAAGATGAAGTTGGCCATTAGTTTATCTTATACATGAAATAAATAAACTTTGCGTATTAATTAATAAACCAAAGATTCGTTCAAGATAAAATAGTCCTATTACAAGCTATTGTGTTGGTTTGCTGGGCACTATCCTATCATTAGTGATTCTCACTGGATTGAAGCAATGCAAGAAGAGTTAAATCAATTTGAAAGGAATGAAGTCTGGTACTTAGTTCCCAGACCTACTCATCAAAGGGTAATTGGCACTAAGTGGGTATTCAGGAATAAAATGAACGAAGATGGTATTGTTACCAGAAACAAAGCAAGACTAGTTGCCAAAGGTTATTGCCAAGAAGAAGGCATTGATTTTGATGAGACATTCGCACCAGTTGCAAGGCTTGAAGCGATCAGATTATTCTTAGCCTATGTTGCTCACAAGAACTTCACTGTCTATCAGATGGATGTGAAGTCTGCCTCTCTCAATGGAGAATTGCAAGAAGAAGTTTACGTTGAACAACCTCCTGGTTTTGAAGCTTATCAACAACGAGATAAAGTTTACCGTCTGAAGAAAGCTCTCTATGGACTGAAACAGGCTCCAAGAGCATGGTATGATACTTTATCTGATTTTCTTTTAGTTAAAGGATTTCGCAAAGGTAAAGTAGATAAGACCTTGTTCACTATTGAATGGGATAATCATATATTGTTAGTTCAAATATATGTGGACGATATTATTTTTGGTTCAACTAACCAACAGATGTGTGAGAAGTTCTCTAAGAAGATGCAGAACAAGTTTGAAATGAGCATGATGGGAGAACTAAATTACTTTCTTGGATTACAAGTCAAACAGCTACCTGATGGTATCTTTATTAATCAAGCAAAGTACACAAAAGATCTGTTCAAGAAATTTGGTATGGAAACTAGCTCATCTGTTAGTGTTCCAATGTCTACTGGACTTCGTCTGGACAAGGATGAAGATGGCAAATCAGTTGACATCACCAAGTACAGAGGCATAATTGGGTCACTGTTATACTTAACAACTAGCAGACCTGATATTATGTATTCTGTTGGGGTTTGTGCGAGATTTCAATCAAATCCTGATGAGGGGTATTTCGCATATGCCACTTTAGGAAATACCTTCTGCTCGAGGTCGACCTCGATCCCGACCAGAATGGTATTCTCCGACCAGAAGAACATGGTTTTCCGATCAAGCCTGACTGATAGCTCTCGATCAAGTACCCCGACCTTCTTCCCGATTTACTCGTCTCCTCGGGATTACTGTGGGGCCGACCTACAGCTTTATACAGCTGGCCGAGAGGTGTTCTCCTACAGATGGTCTACCTAGCTCATTACTGTTCCTATAAATACGCGGCGCATTTATGACATCAGGGACGGCACGACTTCCAAGATATTCCTTCTGCTCGGACCTACTGTTCGGATTAGGAACTAGCTTGTATTCTCATTGTATTTAGTCTTTCTAGTAGCACGGCATCCCGTAATGCTCGGGTAGACCTGCTTTGTAATTTGTATTCGAACACCGATATCAATATACAGTTTTCACACGCTCGATTCATATATTGTTATACTCTACTTTCCTTATTGAACTTGAACGAAATACAGTATAATCAATTGGCGCCCACCGTGGGGCTCGAACCCACGACCACAAGGTTAAGAGCCTTGTTCGATCGGGGCAACCTTCTAGGAACATACAAAATTTAGAGGACTCCGTGGTCGGAGAAAGTCAACCTAAAGTTGTGGAGAGGTCTAGAAAGCCAGCTTACAGAAAGGTAACTGAGGCTGACTTGGAAAGGATGGTGCAAGAAAGGGTTGCTAAGGAGTTAGAAAAAGAGAAGCTAGTAAAGGAAACCCGACCAACAGGTGTCAGGGCTCGAGGAGTCGAGGCCAAAGAGGATGGGGTCGTGTTCCCTGAAGTGCGGAGCAGGGAATTGAGTACAAATATTATGCGATGCTCGCCTTTCTGTCAAGAAATTAAGGAAGCTCGAGGAACAGAGTCAGTCCCTACAAGATTGCCAAGATATAATGGAACCTCTGACCCTGGGGAGCATATAAACAGTTTCATAAATGTGTTGAATTTGTACGGACACTCGGAGGATTTTTGCTGCAAAATCATGGTCACCACATTCGAAGGGATTGCTTTGGATTGGTTCGGAAAACTACCCCCGAACTCGATCTTCTCTTTCGATGAGTTATGCGATAAATTGAAACATCAGTTTGCTAGCCAAAGGAAACAGAGGTTACCTGCTAATCATTTGGGAACGGTGAAACAAATGGAAGGAGAAACACTGAGGCAGTGGCTGGCAAGATTCAGTATTGAACTTCTGAAAGTTGATACCCCGCAGATTGAATTTCTATCATCGTTGATGTTCGAGCTAACCCGCAATAGCCAGTTCGGGAATGCTCTCTGCCGAAAGCAACCAAAGTCTTTCGAGAGGATTATGGAAATAGCTGAGAAATACATGATCCAGGAGGAAATGAATAAGTTAAAGAACGCACAGAATCCTAGGCCCCCGATCGTGAAGAAACCTGATCGGGCCCCTATCCCTAAACCAAGCGACTACGGAGGGTCAAACGCGCAGCAAAAAGGCTCGGTTTGGCAGAGACTTAAGGTCTATAAACCTCAGGCTCCGACCCACAGATCTAATGTCTACGGTCGACCTGCATCTCCTGATAGGGCTCCGAGGACGGAGCATGAAAAAAGCAACTTTACCAGATTGAATACTTCGAGGGACGAGATTCTAACGGTACTCGAAGAGAGGAATTTGGTCCCTGGAGCTCGGCGTATCACTCAACCTAGACCAGGGACTATGAATCACGGCAAGTATTGCAGATACCACAGAGCTCGGGGGCATAGCACCGAGGATTGTTTTCAGTTAAAACAAGAGATCGAGAAACTGATTGCTCAGGGAAAATTGAAGGAATATGTCAGAAAGGAGAACCATAACAGCCGTTATCGATCCAGGAGTCCAAGGAGGTCTTCCGAACAACACCGAGAGGATCGACAACAACCAGAGGAGCAGACGAATCGGGTGATAAATATGATATCTGGTGGGCCAGCTGGGGGAGATAGCAGGAATGCGAGGAAAAGGACTGCAAGGTCGATAAAGACTGGTGTCTCGACTAAGAAAGAGGTCATGTCCTTAAGACCAGCGCCCTCCATAAATCAAGTCATTAGTTTTTCTGAGGCTGACAGACCTAGTGATGTGACTTGGGATACTAATGAAGATGACCCTGATTTTTCGATGGTCTTGACCCTGAGAATTGCTAACTTCGAGGTTAGGAGGGTGTTAATCGATAATGGCAGTTCGGCAAACATAATCTCTTCTGAGGCGCTCGATAGAATGAATCTACAACATCCGCGATTGGAACGAGTATCCACCCCGCTCATTGGGTTCGGTGGATCGGAAATTGTTCCTCTCGGAACCATACTCTTGAGTACTACTATGGGCAAGAAACCTAGAGATGTTACGAAGATGGTTAAATTCCTAGTCGTGAGTACCCCGTTCGCTTATAATGCAATCTTGGGGAGACCGGCTTTAAACGTATTCAAAGCGGTCGTGTCAACTTACCACCAGATGGTAAAGTTTCCCACTTTGGCGGGGGTCGGAGAAATGAGAAACGACCAATGCATGGCATGGGAATGTTACAACACGTCCCTAAACATGAAGAAGCAGTTCGAGCCATTATTGCCCTCGAAGAGAAAGTTAGAAGAGGAAAAGGTATTCTCTGTTTCCGACCTCCCGTTGCCAGATTGTGAAAAGTTGCAGAGTAAAAAAGGAAAAGAGATCGATATGAGCGTACAACCCCCAAATCATAAACAAGTAACGTTAATCCCTGGCTCTCCCGAGAAGTTCACCAGGATTGGGACCGAGCTAAGTTAAGGGATGGAGACCATGCTGATCGAATTCCTTAGAAACAACGCCGATGTCTTTGCGTGGAGTTCTGATGATATAGTCGGAATCGACCCGAAAGTGATCACTCATTCTTTAAATATCGATCCTAAAGCAAAGCCAGTTAGGCAAAAGAAGAGGAATCACGGTCGAGAAAAAGACAAAATCATCAATGCTGAGGTGGATAGGTTATTGGCTGCGAAACAGATTCGGGAAATAACTTTCACTGAATGGCTTTGCAATGTAGTGTTGGTGTCGAAGGGAGAGAAGGTCGACAACAAATGGAGGATGTGTAATGATTTTACCGACCTGAACAAGTTGTGTCCAAGGGACCCCTATCCTTTACCACGGATCGATATGCTGGTTGACTCGACTGCGGGATTCATATTCTTTAGTATGATGGATGCTTTCCAAGGATTTTATCAAATATTTATGAATGAAAGAGATCAGGATAAAACAGCTTTTATTACCGAACGGGGAGTATACTGCTTCATTGTAATGCCGTTCGGGCTAAGGAATGCGGGAGCAACTTATCAAAGGCTCGTGAATATGATGTTCAAGGATCTTATTGGTGAGATCATGGAAGTTTATGTTGATGATATGCTAGTGAAGAGCATGACCGAGGAGGAACATATAAAGCACCTTGACAGATGTTTCGCAATCCTAAGGAAGTACAGAATGAAATTAAACCCGGCCAAGTGCACCTTCGGGGTAAGGTCGGGAAAGTTCCTCGGTTATCTGGTTCACGAGCGCGGAATCGAGGCGAATCCAGAAAAAATCCGAGCTATAGCTGATGTGGGGGGGGGGGGGGGTGGGGGGGGGGTGGGGGGGGGGGGGGGGGGGGGGGGGGGGGGGGGGGGTGGGGGGGGTGGGGGGGGGGGGGGGGGGGGGGGGGGGAGGGGGGGGGGGGGGGGGGGGGGGGGGGGGGATTGGGGGGGGGGGCGGGTGGTGGTGGGGGGGGGTGGGGGGGGGGGGGGGTGGGGGGGGGGGGGGGTGGGGGGGGGGGGGGGTGGGGGGGGGGGGGGGTGGGGGGGGGGGGGGGTGGGGGGGGGGGGGGGTGGGGGGGGGGGGGGGTGGGGGGGGGGGGGGGTGGGGGGGGGGGGGGGTGGGGGGGGGGGGGGGTGGGGGGGGGGGGGGGTGGGGGGGGGGGGGGGTGGGGGGGGGGGGGGGTGGGGGGGGGGGGGGGTGGGGGGGGGGGGGGGTGGGGGGGGGGGGGGGTGGGGGGGGGGGGGGGTGGGGGGGGGGGGGGGTGGGGGGGGGGGGGGGTGGGGGGGGGGGGGGGTGGGGGGGGGGGGGGGTGAACTCTTCCTATCAATTTTACAGCCAGCAAGGTCAGAATCTGAATATCCAGTAAGTTCAAATCCTGATTCCCTTGGATACCACAATCTCAATTCTTGTGTGCCTTTGAGATACCTTAATATCCTTTTAGCAGCTAAGAGATGAGATTCCTTAGGATTTTATTGAAATCTCGCACAAACCCCAACAGAATACATAATATCAGGTCTGCTAGCTGTTAAGTATAACAGTGACCCAATTATGCCTCTGTACTTGGTGATGTCAACTGATTTGCCATCTTCATCCTTGTCCAGACGAAGTCCAGTAGACATAGGAACACTAACAGATGAGCTAGTTTCCATACCAAATTTCTTGAACAGATCTTTTGTGTACTTTGCTTGATTAAATAAAATACCATCAGGTAGCTGTTTAACTTGTAATCCAAGAAAGTAATTTAGTTCTCCCATCATGCTCATTTCAAACTTGTTCTGCATCAGCTTAGAGAACTTCTCACACATCTGTTTGTTAGTTGAACCAAAAATAATATCGTCCACATATATTTGAACTAACAATATATGATTATCCCATTCAATAGTGAACAAAGTCTTATCTACTTTACCTTTGCGAAATCCTTTAACTAGAAGAAAATCAGATAAAGTATCATACCATGCTCTTAGAGCCTGTTTCAGTCCATAGAGAGCTTTCTTCAGACGATACACTTTGTCTCCTTGTTGATAAGCTTCAAAACCAGGAGGTTGTTCAACATAAACTTCCTCTTGCAATTCTCCATTGAGAAAAGCTGACTTCACATCCATCTGATAGACAGTGAAGTTCTTGTGAGCAGCATAGGCTAAGAATAATCTGATTGCTTCAAGCCTTGCAACTTGTGCGAATGTCTCATCAAAATCAATGCCTTCTTCTTGGCAATAACCTTTGGCAACTAGTCTTGCTTTGTTTCTGGTAACAATACCATCTTCATTCATCTTATTCCTGAATACCCACTTAGTGCCAATTACCCTTTGATGAGTAGGTCTCGGAACTAAGTACCAGACTTCATTCCTTTCAAACTGATTCAACTCTTCTTGCATTGCTTCAATCCAGTGAGAATCACTAAGAGCTTCATCAATCAACTTAGGCTCAATTTGTGAAAGAAAATTTACAAACATTGTTTCATTTGCAGTTGACCTTCTAGTTCTCACTCTATCCAAAGGATCATCAATCACTAAGCCAGGTGGGTGATCTCTGAGCCATCTGAGATCAGGTTGCAAATCTGGATGTTGTCCTCTTGATTGATCTTGCAACACTACTGTTGGAGTCTCAGTAGTAGTCTGTTGTATAGGCTCTGGTCTGTCAGCTGTTTGCAACTCCTCTGTTAGACAATCAGCAGACTGATTTTGAACAGCACTTGAGTTAACAGCTTGGCTTAAATCAGGTAGTATGATGGGAACATATTCTTCTTTTCTTTCCATACTCAATTTCTGAAAGTCATCAGATATCTCTGGATTAGCACTTTGATTCTTTTCAGAA